TCCAGACAATGACATGAATGATCGTGCCTATTCGGCTCAGGTATTAATTGGAACCAAACTGGTACTAGTTGGTTTTGGTTACATTTAATCATCTGGCATCACTTGCAACCTCAGGTATCGTATCAGGATTTCCAGTTGGACTGCAATGGTCCTCTCTTGGGATCTGTGTCACACTGGTCATAATCAGTTGAGAACTTCAATGCTGTCACTTTCTGTTCTCACTGAACCCTTGTACGATTGATTTGTCAGCGAATGTAAATAGGCGTGCATCTGAAAGCTGATGGAAACGCGAAAACAAGTGTTTAAGTAGAGGGATTGAATCTAGATGGTAAAAAAGAAGCTGTCGCGAACTCCGGGGCACATCATACATGAGATTGTGTACGCAAGATGTGTTCCGTCATGCCCCTGTCTCTCATATAAATAACTTCCGACTATCAGAGGCAGGATGACGGATTTTTCCTTAGGCGTTCACAGTAAGATTATGAACAGTATGTCACAGGTGGAAACGAGTGAGCCGGAATGCCTTGAAAATGGGCATGTCGGTAACAAGCTAGGTGTGGCTCCACTGATGCCGTATGAATCAGAAGTATCAACTTTGTAACAGTTCAAGTGAGTGAGGAATCTGTCATTTTACTCAGCTTGCCCTCCAACGGATGGAAGATTATGGATGCAAATTAGTGGAGTCTGAAGTACAAAAACGTGAGCAACTGATGTGAGGTTGGAACAGCGAGAGCAAAAGTGTGATGAAACAGATACGTTTTATTAGAAAAAAATAAAAGATGGTACGTGAACTGTTCCTCCAATCATGTGGAAAAACAAAAAACCTAACAGCGCGCTATGCGACAGAATGTGAAATCTCGGAATCATGACGGGAACATGTCTTCAATACCGAATGCAACAGCTTAGACGCTACATACCAACTGAAGTGCCCCACAGAAATCACATCAGACACTCAAACAAATGCACTTCAGACATTCCAAAGCAAAATATAGACGTGAGTGGCCCTTTCTCCCTACATACCAACTGAAGTGCCCCACAGAAACCATATCAGACACTCAAATAAATGCACTTCAGACATTTCAAAGCAAAATTTAGACGTGAGCGGCCCTTTCTCTAAGTATCTTTCGCACAACTCTTGGTTCAGTTTGGCCCTTTCCATATTTTTTTATATAAATCGGACAGTCCGTTTACAAGCACTAGACAAAAGCATTTTGAGGTGTCCTTCATCCGCTTCATAAACAAACAGGCTTACGGCACTCAACAATCAGCGCATCACACATTCCACGTACCCACATTTTGTGAAGAAACAAATAAAAAAGATAGAAGCCACAAGGAGACTACAATAGAAGGCCATTAGGTGTAAGGATGTGGTTAACTCTAGACGGGGATGGCAAGTCAAGTAGAGCCAAGTAAAAAAAAGCCTAATTTGGTCCCTCTGAATGTTCCTCTGAATTAAGCTACAGAAGCTAACCAAGTCACAGTTGAAGGAAACATAGTCATCTGGAGTCTGTCCGCAAAGATGTCCAAGCTAACACATTGATGCAGCAACACTTCATAAATGGGATTTCGATATCGTGGTGAACATGCCTAAAACAGTTTTGGAAGCAGAGAGTGCTCCCTTTTGGTCTGGTTCGCAATGGGGCCAAATGTGTACGAATGCTTACCCGAAGATGTGCTTTTGCAGGAATAATAACCGTCGCCCTCAAATCCTGCCTCACACCGACACCGGCCATCTACGCATCGTGCATTCGGATGACACTGATGCCCGCCGCAGGTCCCTGTGAAATAATGTGGTGGCATGGATAACCATGTTAAATGGCGTATACAATCATTATGGAGGGAGCGTTGCAGCCATGCTTTGTGTGCTCGCATACCCGCATGCACATTCTCTGTGTTGCACAAACCTACCTCTGGACGATGGTCGACAGTCATATCGCCCATCACCCTCATATCCATCTAGACAACGGCATCGGCCATATTCACACCTTCCGTATTGGTGACAATAAATTCCTTCGCATGGATCTGTTGGAGTTGGACGCGGAACTACGGTCACTACAGAGTCTTCTCTTACAATGTTCTTGCCATGCAAAATAATGTTTACAGGCCTAAAATTTGAATAAAACGCGTTTTGATCCCTACCTAAAATTTGAATAAAACGCGTTTTGATCTCTAAAGTCCTTCCGAAACGCCGCCTTTTGGAAATTTGAATTATACTGCCCAGCAGATTGGCGAAATAATAGAATGTTAGTCGTTGTCGCCCTCTCGCGGCACTCTACCTTTCTGCATTTGTTATATGGAGAGATGAACTATTGCTATTCAGCAATGAGGCGAATTTCAGGACTTGATATGTTGACCTTGGGCGCAAAAGCCACCTTATCTGTTTATGATTGCCATCGTTTATCTCCGGAGAAAAAAGTTGCGGTTACCAACGGGAATGTGCAAACAACAAAATCGCCTTCTTCATCCGTGAAAATTTTTTACCGATAACAAGGAACCTAAAAGTGCTCATAAAACTTTGAAACAGGTGTCCTAATGAACTTTGAAATTATTTTGCACAGGATAGTGTTTTTCTTCTTCGAAGAAATATTCCATCGATGGTTGGTCATCAAATGTTTTGAAAGAAGAGTCTGCCTGAGTTCAGCAGATTTTAGTAAGAGAGATGTATTCCTAAAAGTGCCAATTTTCGCCTTGTTCTTATCCTCAGGATTTTTTACTTTGCAGTGAATAACATAATCCTGACAACCTCAAAACTCGACTGGGAAAACGCGACAGTTGGTTACGAATGTCCCTTCTCTGAACTACTTCCGATCGTTGACTTCCTTTAATTTGTTCAGTACATCCGTATTCACTTGATCACGCGACTGGTCTGCTCCGCGAGCACACCTACAAAACACGCCACACAATCGCGATTCACCTGACCACACAGTTCATAGTCGCTCATTCGATTACGGGACTAGCCTTTTTTCCCACACAAATCACGCCACACAGGTGTGACTCATTTGACATTGATTGTCTACCGTCTGGTAATCGTGCTCTGACACACCCACGCACACGCAAACGTAGCCACACATAGGAAAACAACACATCAGCCCAACACAACTCAACACAGCGACGCACGTTGTCCGACTCGAAGCTAGCCGCTCAGGGACTACGGCGCGTCACCCAAGGATAGTCAGGGGACTCGTGTACCTGCTACAACAGCAAAGAAAGCACGAAACCTGCATCCGGACCTGCAACAGGATTTATCAACTTGTACTCACGGTACGGTAAGTCCCTTGTTCACACATATATACCTATTGTAATCGTTTCACCTAGCAAAGCTATCGTTGTTAGTGCTTCCCGTTTTCTGTCCATATAGACAATTTTCGGGTTATAGTAAAGCATTAACAAATGCTAACGGTAAAGGAGCTCAGTGCATATCATACATCCTATCCAAATGATCCAACGACTTGGTGACATGTTCTCGCATTTGTGAGAGAAGATAACCGATAATATTTTGCTGGTTGATGAAGAATGTATTTTTTAGGGAGCAATACCTTTGTAATAATCGGTCACAGCGTCACCGGTCTGCCATCATTGGACTCTTGTTATTCTTTACAGTCAGACATCGCTTAGGATATCATCGAACAAACACGCAGACACATCTGAGGATGAAATTGTTAAAATGAAACCGAGAGCTGATTATATATTCAAAAGGAATATCCAGTGTTTTCCCGATGCATGAATTGACCGTTCAGCTGTAGCACCCTTTCGGTGCCTAGCTGCCACGCCACCCGAAGGTTGCACGAGGGATGGGATACTGCCAGGTTGCCCAAGCCTAGACAGGGGAAGTCGAGAGGCAGAGATCGGGTTCGAACCACGGACCTTCCGGTCAGTAAATTCGAGCTCCAACCACTTGGTCCAACTAGCCCCATGCATGAAAGTATCAAATCAGTCGTCAGCTTCGTTATTAAGTATGTACGAGCAACGAACCTGGTGCATCCAAACCCGTCAAAGTGCTTAGAATTCAAATTCATTAACAGGAGGTTTGTCTTACACAAACTGCACGGTTTTTCACTAGTAACTTTATTCTGTCATTTTCGCAGATATTCCCAATGGTCATCGTTTTCATGACCCTTTATTCATTTGGGATCGGCCCAGCCGTACTCGGCGTCGCAGAACACCGTGCGAAATTATCGAATACCTTGCGAGCGCGTGATGTTGTTTCGAGAGGAAGTCACGGACAAGTTTGAGTTCAACCTCGAAGGGCTCATCGAGTTGGAAATCACGCATCTATCTTCACCGAAATCGTCAAGGTTAGCAGTGTGCTTCGATAGACAGGAACTCAATAGAGAACTGTACGATAAAGTGGGAGTAATTACTCGGGCGCTGAATAGACAAGAATTGTTCTCCTTCCCTCTTTACAGTAACTTTAATCATTTAACTTGTTGAGGGATGCCTGAGTTACATTCGACAGTGAGGTGGTGCACAAACGCACTGACCAAACGGTTCAGAAATATTGGTGGGTGTCCGGATGTAAAACAATACCAATGTGTTGAATATTTGGGTGGAAGGAAAGTTATGGCAAATGATTATTTCGGAAACGCAAAACGAGATGACATGCATCGCACTAGTCTCTAGGGTGAATATCTGGCCACAGCTTACCCGAAAAGGTTCTGTTGCAAAAGTAGTAGCCATCACCCTCAAAACCTGCCTCACATCGACAGTGACCGTCAACACACCGCGCATTCGTGTGACACCGGACTCTGTCACAAGGATCTGCGAAGCGACAATAGGAAATTGGTAAGCTCCTAGACATCTTTCCGTTTATTGAATCCTGCCGTGCACACAAGCTCGAATAGTTAGTTACCAAAGTCACACCTAGAATTAACAATCACCTCTTACCACGAATCGCTGGCCGACAATCATATAGTCCGTCTCCCTCGTATCCGTCTATGCAGTGGCAACGTCCATATTCACACTTCCCATACTGGTGACACCGAATGCCGTCGCAAGAATCTGCGGATTGATATGAATGTACGATTACCTATAACAGCTGAGGAAGACGCAAGCACATAGTGTGCGTCTGCCATGCTCTGTCAAGCAAACTTCATGCAGAGGTCTAACGGGAAGGCGAAGCTTGCTACTGATTCCGCATTATGGCAATCAACGGTAGCGACGAAGTTCATATATGTGGTTATAGTCGCGCCGGACGATTTCAATCAAAGGTGAGGGTATAGTTCTTCAAAAGAGCAACATCCGCAAAATGACAGCATCTGCGTGTGTAGTCATGCCAAGATTCACTTTTAAAATTACAGCAAGTAGATTCTGGACCGACTCCTGTTCTCTGGAGGCAAGTAGTTTCGCACACTGCAAATCACGAACTCACAACAGAACTATCGTCGGGACTCAAAGTTTGAAGAAGAAAGTAAATAGTGCTATCTAATTAAATCAATGGTTTGAAGTACACTATGGTCGAATTCTTTATGTCTATCTGCAGCCATCAAAGTGTGAAAGTCGAATATGTCCTCCTGTGACTGACAAGACGGCTAAAATACCAAACTGGAATATCGTTACCCAAGTAGTCGGATGGTGAGCTAATAACCGGTGAAAGGATGGTTCAAACTACACAATGGATATTTGTTTGTTTTTTCTTTGGCTTCAACTTACTTACTTTGCTCGGTATGGTGCAAGAGGATGCCGAATGAGTCCAAAAATCAAGAGAACTTCTGTCCTCAAGTTCATGACCGAAGAGAAGATGGAAATGTTTTATTTGTAATCTGCAGTCACTGTGTGTACTAGGATTGGCATGAATGCCCTGGAAAGACCAGCCAGAACAGTTGATGCATAAGCTTGCTTGAGCCTTGAGTACTAAATGTACAATTTTAGGTTGCCGTGCATATGATGTTCGAAAGGATACTATCCCCCCGATATGTGTTGGGCTCTCATTACTATTAAGATGGATATTGAATGATCCAAATTGTAGTTGCCCCAAGACAGCTTCACGCTGACCGCAACCGCCGTGCTGTCCTACTCAGGGCAGCACTTCCACCAACGAGTTCCTAACAAAGAAGGTACTTTGAATAGTCTTCAACGGCCTTCTGGGCAGTATGTTGGGTCCGGAGCTAATAGCGATTCATTGCAGTCCTCAGTCAGGCATGAAGAATAGATGAGTTAAGAGCAAGAAGTCCCGCAAGAACTCCGACTCTCATTCAAAGGATCTGCCAATTCATTTGCACAGTGTGCAGCTGGATAAATATTTCACGTTCCTATTCAGTGGAATTTGATGCATGCACGCGTAATTTTGCATGTTTGCGGTCACATCGGTGTCGGAGCCTGTGTCGCTGTTCTGGACAACGAATGAATGATCACATATAGCAAGGACTTCAGTGCTGGTCTTAGGCCTGACAGGGTATCTTCTTTTAGCAGATTTCGTCCTGTAAGTGAAGCCGATATATTCTGGACCTACTGGCTGATAGTTTGAACACCTGGCCGTTCAGGCCATGAGTGGTTGATCAGCAGTGTGATTAACTCGCTCGTAGACAGGATATAGCGCCGCTCATCCTATTAGCCAATAGGTCGCGGGTTCGAGACTCTTCGGAGTTTCGTGGGATGCGCACTGCTGATGATCCCCATCAAGGATGAAACAGCTGTACGGTGCTTCTCGGATTTCAAGAATAGATTAGATTCACTTACAGGACGAAACCTCCTCAAAAAAACCAAATTTCCTCACACTAACAACAGGTTATCTTTTGCTCACAAGGGCGTTGATGGTGATAATTTGCCAACGGATTTGAATCCATTTGTTCGACTCGCCAGTGTTTTACCATTACCCTAATGCTTTGTCGGGTATCTGTTTGATAACCTGAACCGCATCATCACCAACGCGCTCATCAGGGGTTAACTAGCTGTTCATTTTGTCGGAACTGACTACGCGTCATGACTGCGACGATTCACGTGGACATTCCTTTGCAATCCTGGATGAATGGACATGCGATGCAGTGGATGGGAGTAGACACGCTATTCTCTAGTTGGTCAACCTTCGTTTACATGCGGCGTGTAGCTTTAATTTTGGGCTTCTTCCGGACGGAGCCAATTTTTGATCGTAAGTTGCATCCACATCCTCCCCTATCAACGCACCGGCAATCAGTCAGCCCATTACCCTCGTAACCTCGACGACGGTAGCAGTAAATTAAGGATTGCTCTCAGGTTTCATACGAGGGTCTATCAATAATAAGAATGCGGGTGACATTCAGGCTATAGTACTGATTTATGATATGATGGGCCTATCAAAACTGACGGTTATATGGTTCATATGTGCAAAGTTGGTTTGGCGTGCCATGGCGGACCGATAAAACTAGATTTGGCTAACATTTGCTGTGTACGCATAGGGGCTCAAGAATCTACTCGTCTATCAGACTGTGAAGCCTAGTCAGAAGAGTGGTCAGATGAACGGTTACCCCAGTTCAATGGATGCATTTGCTCATCATTGTAGCCGATGAAATATATAGTGAGCAGTTAGTATGCAGATGAGTTGTACATTAGCCAAAATAGTGTATGGCACCTGAATCGACGTATAAAAACAAATGCGTGAGATGTTTCTTGGGCCCGATCCCCACTGTTGTTTGAGTTTGCTCACCGCTATTACTATTACAGTATGCGAGACTCACGAACTGCAGATCCTATCTCGAAAAGCTCAGTCTCAGAAGATTTTTAGTGGTAGTACCGAGGCTCATCTTTTGCTTGCATTGAATGGCAGTTACAAGGTATTGAAGTCGTGCGGACACCCTCACCGTATGGATGTCTGTGTGTGCGGGCGACTGTTGGGTTTTGTGATGAGATGCGATTTTGCGTACGTTTACTCTGAGAAGGAAAAGTCCCCACCCAGGTCCACTCTGAACTGTTTAGTCTGTGTGTGCGGGCGACTGTTGGGTTTTCTGATGTGATGCGATTTTGCGTGCGTTTACTCTGTGACGCAAAAGTCCCCACTCAGGTCCACTCTGAACTGTTTGGTTCATCCAGACTTCATGATAGTGACGAGGAGATTTAGTGTATGAAGCTTTTCTGTCGTACAGATAAGTTTGAAACTGTGCTCTAATCGCTTCGTGAGACGAGATACCTGTGTCCGCCTCATTCTGTTTGAATCATTCGTCATAAATCTTCGCCTGTGCACTAACTTTTGCGGTGCCAATTTTCGCCTCTTGTTGGAAGTGTCTGACCAGCTTTTGATCTGTGACCATCCTCCAACCTGTGCAAATTATTTCGTACCTACTGGTGTCATGTATGATTTGTTGTGTATAATACATGCATCAAACTCGTGTTTTGTGCCATTTCGTTTATTTTTTCTAATGAATATTTCGTTCTCTCTATTAATTTCTCCACGCTGTTCTTGTCACCAATAAACAAGAATGGAGTGACCACTATAGGGAATAACCTAACTATGGCCAACAAGTCTGGACATCTTACTTTGGTTATGAACCTCCTGGAATTGGTAGTTCTCAGAAGAAACTATTCCATTAGATGGTCTCAGCTTGCCCATGACTGAAGAACATCACTTTATTCTACAGTTGAAGATATCCCTCGCCGCTGTCTTCATTAGCCACTGAACCTTGGTGTTCTCAGTGCAGACACGATCGCTTTTGATTGAGAAGTTTTGTCGATATGTGTTGACAGTAAAACCATTCATGTCAGATGTACACACTTCTGATTCAGAGTTCTCAGGCCAGTGTAAACTAAACTAGTCAGCATATCAAGTAGCAGAAGCACAGCCTGGATTTCTACATCTTCAAGCAGGAGTTCAAGTTGACATGCACGCGGATGCATACATTCGTAAATCGCCTGGAAATGATTTCATATGCCACTCAACGGAACATGCTGACTTATCTAACACAACGATAGGAATATATGTCGGGCATTGGTATTTTAAGCGTAGACCATCAGATAATAGAACCATGCACCATTCCATCAGCCGTTATAATTCGTCTCCACTTTTTTACTCGGTATCCAGCTCACCCGAACTTCTTGGTCGACAGTCCCAGTATCCGTCACCCTCGTAGCCTTGACGGCATTGGCATCGACCCATGTGGCATTCACCGTAGTAATGACACTGCACATTGTCACACATATCTGGCAAATGTTTCATGAGAACGTTAATCCATTTAATTGTTTTTTTCAGTACATTTGGTTCCCAACATGCAGCTTGACACATGTAGTATTAAGGAGATATCTTTGGGTTGTACATTAGTTTAAAAAGTATGAACAATAAACCAAGCAATCCAATGATAAACACGTCTCACTCGATTACACTTCACTGTGAAATAAGACACTTACGATGAGCACTGAATCGAGATACCGTTGACCATTTATTATATGGATACAAGTAAGTTATTGTATACCCAGCTAAAGGGCTGGACTGGCCACGATTCAGCAGAACATCCAGCCCGCAATAGACTCAGTGACTCAGTAGTTCGATCGCAGCCAGGAGTGTAATTCTGCCCCCGTAGGAAGGTGTAGCGTCAGGTTATGCGCAATTATAACCATGAGTATATATGATTATGGACGAAAAACTATACTCGTCTAACTAACCAACTATGCTCCTCTGCAAGCGAGAAAACAGGAATTTGAACCTGTGCCGGCAGTTGTGCGCGGAAACGATCATATCGATGACTACTTCTAAACCTTCAAGTAGGCGTAAATTGTGAGCAACTGCAAAATGCGTCTTCGTCTCAGAATAGTTTCCAGTGTGAATCGTGTGAAATTTTCTGGATGGTAAAAGTTGGCTTGCTCAGTCAAAATCCGCGACCTGGTTGGTGTTACGGTCCAGGCCAATTTCAAATCAAGCATCTTGTTGGTTGAAACAAAGATTTATCCCATCATCATTCATACGTGACCACTACGCATTTTTTCCGGAAAATCATTCGGCGACGTCACACAGTCAGTATGTGTTACTGGGACACAAGCGACAGAAACTCAGCATAATCGCCCCAACGCATGCATTAACAAAAGGCATTCCTTCTCACCCATGCAGTCCAAATGATGGTCTGCTGTGTAAAACCTACCTCGATAACGGCATTCATAAACTCCATCCCCCTCGTAACCTTCGATGCAACGGCAACGTCCATGTTCACATACACCATACTGGTGACACTGAACCCCATTGCACGGATCTACAACATGTGGAGGTGAACGCCATGTGTGCTTTATACCTCATCGTGAAATATTGGCCAGTGGATCACGTATGATGTCAGACAAGTCGAGATGCATTCAGGCAGGCGGGGATCCCCAGAGAGGTAAAGTAAGTAGGTTCACCATACTTCCTACCTGGCATATCTGACAAATTTATCGTTATTTAAGCTACCCAGATCTCGAGAATACCTATTATTTTGATACACTTAAGACTTTAATCAAAGCGGGGGCGCAAATCAACGTGTGAAATAACAGACACCACGTGCTGTGAAATCGTCTCTTCAATTAAACAATTCTAGTGAAAACGTGCTTCGAATTGATATGACATTATCGTTTACGGATATGTGACTTTAAAAAAAGGCATTTCCGAAAATCGAATAATGTTTTCTACCCCAAAATATCGCTTTTTTCAATTTTACTTGGGAAAACGTTGATATGGGAACCGGATTTCTGTGTTCACATTCAATCGCCAACGTGAAGATTTATTCGTCCAAATCGGTTATATATTTTGAACGGAACGACTAAGAATTGATGTTCCTTCAAAACTTTGGTTTCCACATGTTGTCATATCGACTTACATTTCTCAATCGTTAGGCGTGTACATTAGTAATTTAGGCGTTGTTCGCAAGCTGAAGTTCTATGGGACTGAAATCCTATGTAGATTATATCTTCTTAGTTTCCAACAGCTTGGTTGATTGACATCCTAACCTGAGGCTATCATTTCAGTCTGTTTAAAATACTCAAATGGGCGTATATGGGGTTTGCAGTTGCCAGCGTTTCTGTAGATAGCAGAACATTTTGCTCAAACCACCACAACCTAATTTGTTCCAAATAAACACATTCGTGTCAAGGACAATCTAAACGTCGTTTTATTATGAGTAACCACAAGTTTAAACCTGTGAGTCCACCTCAAGCGTGAAGCTCGCAAATTAAGTCATTTCATTTTTTTAAATCTGTTATTGAATGAATGGATAAATATATATATACATAACCACAAAAATTATTTTGGTGAGCAAAATAGATATTACACCTTAATCCATGTAAAAAACAGAGTATTTATTGCATATGAAGCGATGAGAAAAACGAAAGTATGTGGTAGTGCAACGGATCAAAATGGATTAAATTAGTTGCATTGATAGGCAGATTACTTCCTGGTTTACACAACTGCCGTTTGAAACTGCTGGAACGGATATCGAGCAAGCGATTACTTATTTATATAAGACCATAGAAAATACTTCAGAGCTAAACAGACAGGATTTTAAATTTTTCTTTCCAATAATGATTGGGGAAAGAAATGATCTATAAAGAGGAATTGCTTGGACGTTCCGTGATGATGTAGATGACGACATGCTGATGAAGAGGAGGAGGACTTCGTTGTGTAGTGGGTAGTAGTAGCGTATAAATAAGTGAGCCAGCAAGTAAATAAGTAATTAAATAGGTGGGTAAGTAAGTAAGCAAGAAGTTAATTAAGGAAGTAAGTAAGTAAGAAAGTAAGTAAGTAAGTTAGTAAGTAGGTAAGTAAGTAAGTAAATAAGTAGGTAAGTAAGTAAGTAAGTAGGTGAGTAAGTTAAGTAAGTAAGGGAAGGCAAACTTGAATGGGTAGTGATTGAGCAACGTACAAGCGCTCAAACCCACAAACTTGCAACATGATTCATGTGCCTGTTCAATAGTGCTGACGTGAGTTTCAAGTTCTGTCGGTGCTCCACTATTTGACATTTTTAATAGAGGAATAGGACCATTTAGCGGACAACGTTCACTTTCTGTTGTTCATGAGCTACTTTTCCACAGCCAAAAATGAGTTTTCCAACCTTTGTTCAAAAACTCCCAATAGACCGACTGTCGATTCCATGAAGCCGATAATAAAACTGATGAAGAAGACTGATGACATTTGATTGCAGATGTTACTTGGGCGGAAATGTGACGAGAATACCATCTTGGAAAGAAATCCATTCCGGCTAAACAGAAGTAAACAACTGGAATGGTGTTGACAGTAATTTTCCTGCACTACAGCGAAATATTGGCGAAGAAGTATGAATAATACACTTGCTTATATAGATTATATGTATACCGCGTTAGAAGAAATGATTTTGCTCAATGTAATGTTCCGTATGTCCAGAAAAACCTGGTCTTTCAAAACACAATAAAGTTTAGTTTCATACTGGCTATTAAAAAACTTCATAATCTTTTTGGACAGTTTTACACGACTTTCTGGAGGAAACAACAAAGTCTGACTGGTTTCCTGTCAAGATCACCAAAAAAATCATTGATTTGAAAAAATTACACGAGTCTTCGAAATGACGCTTTTACACAGACCAACAGAAATTATAGAGTTCATCAAGCGGGAGGTATGCTATTTTTCATGCAATATAAAGATTTAGGTTTCCAATAACTCTGGTGCGAATTTGTGAAAAAAAAATACTGTGCGGAACTCACTAATTTGCTCTAGGCGGCATTCATGTTATTTTGATTGCGTATAATGTGTATTTCAATAGCAATTACATGCATATTAGCCTCATCTGATTAAAAGCATCAGTTCTATCGCGGCTGTAGGATGTTTCTGCCGTGCAAGTGCGACCATATAGATATCGAGAGCCACATGTGCGCTACTACTGTTTGCGATCTGCAGTAATATCACTCACCCCTCGTCGGTCTACAATCTCGATAGCCATCCCCAGAGAACCCGGGTGAGCAAAGGCACAAGCCATTGTGACAGGTCGCATTGGGATGGCAGCTAATCACTGCACACGGGTCTGAGAATGAAGAGCACGTGTGACAAAACCACTGGGATCTCTGAAACTACACAATGGAGTTATGCGTGAAATGGCTACGAACCTGAGTTGTGGGTATTTGGCTATTGATCGTCCTGGATTAGGCAACCACCATTTGCATCCCATTCGCTATACTAAATTAACATTGATGTGGGAAATATCTCCCTGGAGAATGAAGTCTTGCGTCGTCTATTGAACTTTATGACATGAACAGTAAACTGGATCCTTGATGTGTCCTTGCCGGAGGCCGAAAACTTTACTGAGTTGTAAAATACTACTTGAGAATAAAAAATGAATGAAAGAGTCCTGTATGAAAAAAAGCGAAATCACTTAAAGAAGCAGGTAATCTTCCTGTCTTGCAAGATGCGTTTGAATGTTACTCAGAAATACGACCAGAATTGTTTGCCTTTGTCAAACCAAATTCGCCAAGGTCATTCAAGCTGCACACCTTCACTGGAGGTTTAGCGGATTACTCGAATTTACGGACAAAGTGACCGAGGAGTTACAGACCCCATTAACCTTGAAAAAGACCTTTACAAGTCAAAGAAAACCGACGGTAGCCTAGATTTTATTGACTGCTAAATGTATTTCTCAATTGGTAAATAGTTATATAAGACAACCATTAAAGGAAGCTGCGTGCTAAGCAGGAGTTCAAACACTTAGTGACTGAATACGAATAAAGCACTAGGTTGCACAATTAAATTGAACTTACCCGGTAAATTCCGATCACACTCCCAGTAACCGTCACCTCTGAAACCTTCTCGACATCGGCACTCACCGTCTACGCAATAGCCATCACGATGGCATTGAACACCGAGGCATGGATCTACGCAATGCGCAAATATCACGTGAACTTTGTGTCGGGGGCAGAGCGGAAGTACTCACAGTTAAGCTAGCACATGGACAGGCGATCCATTCCGCGTGAAGCTGTGATTTCATTCGAGGTGCGTTGATGAAACACATTTGGGATATAAGCTACTAGTCTAATGAACAACTTCGAAGCAAAAGTCACGATCATGGAGCATTCGTAGCGCAGGGCCGTTGTGAAGAGGATTTAGAGATATAGAGCGATGCCACTGTGATTTCAGCCCTCTATACTTGACTAAGCACAGGCATATTTGCTACGTCAGTTCTGCTCTGTTCGAGCACAACTTACCATGTCTAATTCGCCTGCATTCGTAATAGCCATCACCTTCGAATCCAGCTACGCATTCACAGTAACCATTACGACATCTCGCAAACGGGTGACAAGCAACTTGAGCACATGGGTCCACTATACAGGTGAACATAGGTAGGTTTATCTGGGCAGTATTCAGATTTATAATGTGTAGACAAGTATTTCATTCTAGCGAGAATAAAAGGTGTATATTAAAGCCTACATTCGGACGTCCTTACTGTTAATACTTCGAATCAGTCAAACTGAAGAGAGTACTCGAATAGATGCACAAAATCAAAACCTGGACTTTCACAGAAACAATAAACAGGGGAAATGGGCTAGGTTGTGTTCTGCGCCATGCATATACCAAGTCTTCCTCTTTGAATCGCATCTAAGAGCATCTGTTCTAGAAATAGTCATTAGATGGTGACTCTCTAGTCTGGGAAGAATATAGAGAACATGCAGAGTATTGAGAAGTTTGGTAAACTTCAGCAAACAAGGTTATTGGATTCAAAGACAGATTGCAACTACACCAATTTGTCAAGACCGACGGAGAATTCCAAATACAGCATGCATGAGTTACAGGAATAATATTCGGTAGACTGGGCTATAAGAAAGGCTCATAAAACAGCTGTCTGATGGATTAAAAATTGGGAAAGGAGAGGAAGACGATCCATAAAAGATACAGCGCAATGAGGCTGGCTATAGATGAACTAACGGTGCAGGATAATTAAACCAACTTGTAAGGATAGAGTTTTCTGTGAGAAAACCTTAGGAAAGTATGGGGCGTTCTTCAAATCACAGATAGCTAACATGTACCGATTTGAAATAAAAAAACCGATCGTTTAAAGGCAGTTGTGGGACAAAAGCTGATGTCATTTTGCTGCTACTGCAATTTTGAATTTTCATTTGTATAGTCGGAACATGGATAAAAGTACATCTCCACAGAAAAAACGGAGTAGCTCATGACCTTAACTTAAACTGGGCTTGAACTTGATCAGTTTTTCTGTATATTAAGTAGCGATTATCCGAAGTCATTTTTTTTTAAATAACTAGTTTTCTGAAACTTGGAGAACATGTTCACTTGTATCGCCTTCTTGAATATCAAATTCTGGATTTGTCCCTTTAAAATCTGGGAATAGTTCAGCTTAAAACCGAGGATCTTGGTATGCTCTAAAATACGAGCAGTTTGCTAATGGTGGAAAAGAGGTGGAATATACTTTGCATAGCAATGTTTTCAAAAAATAACATTTTTTCATCAGATCAGCGTCCTAACTGAGTCGAGAAATTTGCTACTGATAAACCGTGAGGAAATAACTCGAAATAGTTTACCATCCATCCATTGAAACTGAGATTTATCAGGACATGCAGTTGGAAGTTTCTTTAAATTGATTATCAATATCATCATCCATTATCCCTCTTTAGCTGAGTGAGACGGATGTGGCCTGGAAACACCACAAATGAGAGATTCAGCTGGGTTCCAGGTGAGTCCCTCGCAAAACCAAATTTATTTGCGAATGAGTGCATTTCGTTAATCATTCATTCATTTTAAATGTTGAAACTCGTGCTAAATGCACCTGATGAGCTTAAATCAAGACGAAAAACGTTGAATATGGCTTTTCTATGACCATCAACTACTTTGGGATGCCACGAAAAATTTAATGGATTATATAAAGCGTAAATGCTCAGACGTACCCAAGTAATAACCATATTAACGAGTGAAAAATTTTGATTTTGACCAGTTAACTGGTACATTTGTCAAAAAACGGAGGGACCTTTCGATTAGTTCGCCCACTTGATGAAAACATGCCAAGAAAACATGTCCAGCACGCACACAGAACACTCAGATCATCCACACATCCTTCTTCTTGGTTGCTTGTATAGCTCAGGCATTGTCATTAGCATGAACTAGGATATGCATATCAAGCATGCCAGATTTTCTTAGTTTGGTGAGTAAAGAACAATGTTTTCCTCCCACGCGCAAGCAAATGTGCCGTTATGTATACCGAAGCAAATGTAAGATGATAATTACGCGGTTGATACAGGAACAAAACGGCGCAGTTAATGTATCAAGTCAGGCTTACTGAGCACTGGTTGCCTCATGCAGAGCAGCATATAGCTTTATCTACTTACCATACTGTTGTAGCCTACACTCATAATAACCGTCACCTTCGTAGCCAGAGACACACTGGCATACGCCATCATAACATCGGGCATTCTCGTGACATCGGACACCGTAACAACGGTCTGGTGAGAAAAATCACAATAGTGGTAGAGGGATCCTAGAAGTCCTGTTACGGAGGATTAGGGGACCATTACTATTCCTCCGAAAATTTAAAACAAAATTCCACTGCGAATCGCACAACAAACACATCGCAGACGTGAGTCGTTCACGTTCAGAGACACAAACTTTCTCACCATCAGAATTCTTGCTGGTCGCCTGGACTCATCCGTAGTTGTACGAATGATCCAGTAGAGTTACGCTCATTGGATCTATCGCGCATGTACCTCATGTTATATACTGAAATGTTAGAAACTTCATTTCGAATCCGGAACGATCTTCGAAAAGAAAAAGCCACCATAAAATACGACAAGGTACTGAGAAGTTCAAATAGAAGTCAGAAAATCAAATCTGCTCCTAGTCCGACCAACATGAAATTAAAAAGGTGCCAACACGTGGTAACTCTAGGCCAGCCGTTCTGACAAGGACAGAAAGGCGTATTCACTAGTAAAAGAATACCTTGTAACATAGTATACATATTTCAGCTCTTCTAGACTCGAGCTAAACGTCTATTTCGGATTATGATATTACCATCATCTTTAGGGCCAGAAAGAAGATAATTATCAAATAAAAGAAAAGAGGGAAAGCAAAACCATGAATTTGTTGAGCAGGAACACTGAGTCCCTATATAAACATATCAGGGTGTGTAACATTCAACTAAACACACGTATCCTATCAGACTGGTCAACTTTCAGACCTTACTTAGCACATGCAAAGTGCATGGAGCCCAGAAAATTGCACCACGCTAATCGACTTTACGCGTGATATTGAGTTCCACATGATCTGCAGCCGGATCGCATTAGTCCCATCAAAGAAATGGTATAATTAAAACAAACAACTCTCACGGAACGAAGGAATGATAGTCAAGCACGTCCACGGATATGTTAGGAAACCAGGAATGAAAATAGTTATAACAATCCTTCATTTAGTTTCTCGCTTTTTAAACAATAACGATATCCACAACAGGAAGCATTGCCTCAGGTCACGCATGTTGTGATAGAACATAAAGGTGTACTTATCCATGACACTGGTAGTAAAACTCACCACGTTCCTCAAGGCACTCAACCATTGGATCGCCGGTATAACCTGGGTTGCAAATGCAGGCACCATCCCTACAGACAGCCTGTTTTCCACACTGTATCCCTTCACATAAATCCACCCCGGAAGGTTTGCAGACATCGTTAACACACACCTCATTACGTTGACAACGGGAACATGGATCTATCAGTAAAGGAAAATATACTCGTATTACTGTTGGAGAAATTATTGCTGTGGTAATGGGGGGGAGGTTTCTCTTTTTGGACATGTAAACCATAAAGATACTTCCGGCTATGCACAAAATTTGTGCATAGAAAGACCTATCAGTCACCTGCTGTTCAGCTTAGTTTAAAGCATGCAAGAGCTTCACCGCAGTTGACTGCAGTGCAAGAGATCTCACATGAATTACTAATTAGTTCTTGAAATTTAACTGTACCCTGAATCATAACGTTTATAGTGGCGTTTGGTGCGAGCCTCGCGTTTTATAACTGTGGTATTAGTCTGGTTTGGAGGGATACATTGTTTGAAATTCGTCACAAACTCACCATCTTCACAACGTGATACGCCGTCTCCACGATAGCCAGGCATACACTGACAAAATCCTTGTTGGGGTTCAATACACCGAGCAAACTGATGACAATACACTGGACCACACTGTTCTGTTGTGTGTTCGTACACTGAAGAAGAAATGTGATAATTATGGAAAGGCACACTACTTTAAGCAACCCAAGCTGCCAGATTATTTGCACAAGGACCTTCTATACCCTACACAACGAACCCTGAGAAAACGCATCTTAACAGACATTCTATATAAAATGCAACACACAGCTCACTAAATTTATTCGAAATCGGTGACAATAAGATGAAAAAATTGCATACTGATGTCCAACTGATGAATTTGACTGATACTGTGTGCAAATTTAAACCCAAATGAAGCAAACGAGTATCACACGGAACATAAAGTGAAGCGAAGTTTGTATTCTTCAACTCAGAAATCATAATGACAATCATGTGAAAAACGCTTGGAACCGATTGTGTAGTCATCCTTTTCGGGGAAAGTTTGGTAACAATCGGTAGATTCATGGCCAAGCGGCGTTTCGCTTTTAATACAAAAGCTCCATTAGGCCGTGATTAGGTTACGAGGTTGGTAGATATTTAAGGCAGAAGAAGAACCAATCAGCTAGGTTAAATTAAATATCTGTTAGGTGTCGGCTCAGGGATTTTGTGTTTCAGCGTGGGCCACCAAGTGTCCGGCCGATAGAAGAACCTACATGGATTTGGGACCAGCTTAGGGTCTGGTTCTTCCGTCTCAGTTCTCGTGATGATCGCACTTGGATGGATGAGCTAGTACCACGATAGTTATGTAAGAGGGATTCTGTGACCTTTGGTCGGGTAGGGACTTCTACCCACATTTTCTTCTAATGATTCTACGTGAAATGAAAACCTGGAGGCATCATTCACCCTTACGCCTCTTCAACTACCAGGACAGCTAATTACGGACTTCAGCCGATTTCAGCGCGAGATCACCCAGAGCTCAGTCTAACTGCGCATTCAACTGAGCCAGGGTAGCCATGTACCCATCAAAGCCCGTTTGTATCATGAAACAGGTCACCAGTGTGTGAGGGAATCCACCCTATACTGTATCTATTTTGAAACTGCCGATCAAATCAAATTAAACATTAACCTGACTATTGTGACGTATGGGAGGGGTTAAATCTGATGGTCATTGCCCCTGATTAGACCAAGATCACGTTGGCTTCTGCGTAAATCTGACATTACCAGTCCGGGATCAATCAAAGTGTTGGTCAAAATAAACTCTAGATATGTGGGGCGTAGGTTTCAAAGAGTGTAAAGGCCTTAAACTTACAATTAGTTCAAAGACATCTGCCGAGTCTGTCCTATCCCCTCGCTAAAAATCCCATAGTGGCAATTTTTTCTTGCATTCAGTCAAGACTGTGCGTAAAAACTATAATCCGACCATGATTACTGCTTGAGACTACGAAGATTGGGTGAGCCTGTAAAGGCTGTAAAGGCATTCTCTATGGAGGAAAATGTTGGTAGCTCAGTTAACGTAGAGGGTCGTTGGGGTGCACAGCTTAGCGTAAAGTCATTTAGTTTGTATGTTGCAATGCAGAACAGTTGTGTGGGATGTGTCGCTGAGAGCTGACGTGCAGACTCTGGGAAACAATGAATGTCTGAAGGCCAAGGATCCAAGTAGGGGCATGTGTTTACATAGGTTGATTAGACACATCTGCAACGAAGTGTTAGGTCTCGTTGAGTTGAAGATGTTCGGTTCCCGCATGGAATATTATTGTGAAGAGGGTGGTCACCCTATTCCACCGACGTCAGTTTCCCCGACAATGAAGGATAACTTACTTCTACGAAATGACCACTTATAGAGTCCAGTTCAAGAGTCGTCTGCTTTCACGATCCAGAGAAGAAAACCGCCGAAAACTATGCCTTGATGGTAGGACAGCTGCATAATTTCTCGAAAGATTGTACATGAAAGTACGTTGGCTAACGACACAGCCCAATCACAAAATTGCTGAACTCTCTTGCGTGGTGCACTGGTGTACTGATATGTTCATTAAAACAATGAAACATTTCTAGGACAGTTTTTGAAATGAATTCATGAGAATAGAGCACTCTGTGAAGTGATAAATAGCAGTAATTTGAAATTTTTCATAATTGGCTGGCGACTTGTGCTAGGAGCCGTCGGAATTTTCTGGTTCTTGAACCTGTGCATATGACATCTAGTCATTGACTCCCGTTTGCTTATAAACAACATGTACTCGAGATTCTAGATTCATAGATTTAACGAAGTCTGGGAGCCTTCAAATAGTGTCAGCTAGTAAGATTTCAAGTAACGTTCATGACCTAATTATAGCTGATCAGTGAAAAATCAGGAAATTTGCGGACTAACTGGGTAAATCCATGAAATAACCGGTGTTCCATCGCCCAGCTGAGTGCTCAAACGTTAGAAATTCAGTGAAAAATATTGGGTTTTGTCGCAGTCTCTTTGATTAGTTCGTAGTGAATTCCTTATCTAAAATTTGTAGTCACATCAGTGCTATCAGAAGATAAAACCACAGGGATTGCATGAACGGCAAATTTTCAGACCAGTGTTTACCGTCAGTTCCACCATATTTGGTTGTGTGTGGTTGGTTCGTGGCAACAATGCTGATCGACCGGTACTATCAATATTGATGCCACCAGAACCACAGTGAAGTGGTAATTAACATGAGACAGTTGAGCTGAGTAAACTAAGCTCACTGACCTACGAATACAAAAAGATATCAAAGAATAGGTAGTTGGTGACTGCTCACGAATTACATCCTTGTGCGTTTTACATAATTTTGATGGAAACTGTTCACAAATCATCTGGATATTTCAAATTATACTAGTATATGCGGAAGCTTTCGCGAGATAGGTCTCGTCGAGTACAAGTGAACCCTGAAGTAAGCCTAACGGAAAATTTATTTTACATGCACCCAAAATAGGATTAGCCAAATCATTTCAGACACCAGTGTTTTGCATTCTGATTGTGTTCACTCGATGCGGATGATATCCCTAATGTGCCATTTGGTTTCACATCCACCATGCACAACAACAGTTGGATTGCTGTTTTGGAAAATATCCACAACGTCTTCCAACGAAAAATGAGGGAAGTCGTCGAAATTGGTACAACTTGGGTTCACTTAGAATATAAAGTTGACGGGGCTGGGCCTACCTGATGAACCCCAAAAAGGGCAAAACTAGTCGTGGACTGCCGAAGCGTTTTCAGCAACCTTGCGAGTAGTTTCCTTTATGAAGATATACTGTGATAATTAAATACCGTACCAAGTGAAACCTGAAGCCGTGTTTGTGAAGCACATTCAGTTGAAAAGTACCATAAAGAAGAGATTCCGCTGGGTTTCAGACGAGATTTCCGTAAAGAAGGAATTGGTATGCAACTAAGTGTGTTTTTCTAATGACTAGGTAAGCTTTGTTCCATTGTCAACAAGAATCTTATCCAAGTAAGCCGGGCGAAACATTTGGAGCAAACCCGGAAATCTTACTTTAACTCCCATTTTTGTGCTTCTTCGTGTATATGCACACAGGCCTCTCCAACTGGAGTTGCGCTGACCAGTCGTAATGCAACAGCTGTATGCGTTGATTAGCCGTTCGTTATCCAGCAACGCGTCCTTACTAGTCTTTGGGCGGCAATTAAAAACTAATGCTATAGCCATTTGATCACCAATTTCCTGCTTAATTTACACGGCATTCACCTTAAACTGGTTGACACTGATAAATTTCAATCCAGTTCTTCACGGAGGATTCTGAATTGGGTTTTGTTGCTTGTGCAAGGTGCCTTCAAGTCAAATTTCATTGCGGCATGAGCTCCACTTGGAAATGTGGTACTTCCACATCACGAATGGGGGATATCCGTAGCGCTCAGAAATTTTTGCAGTTACGGACCACTTCCGTTAAGTCTCCAATGAGGTAATTGTGTCATCCAAAACGAAGGAGGGGAAATTTGTTTTCATAGGTGAATACATTCTTGCCGATGAAGCATAGCCCCACAACGAAAAAGATCCCAATCGTATCAAAAGAAATACCGAATCCCGTCTCACATCAGACACATCTTCATAAAACACGCAGGCATAAATGAAATTCGCGAGCCCCATTGCAGAAGCTTTCAATAAGCTATTGTTGATTAACTACCGAACAAGAAATATGCCGTTGGGATTAAGTAGGAATTTTCCCTTATGGAGAACAGAGTATGAATACTCAAGGAGGAATATGACCCATACCCGACGGGCCGTCAACAGAGTTGGACCTTCTGATTCTTATGTGAGTTATCTTTTGCTCATATTCAGATAGTTGCTGAACTGAACCAATGATTATTTTAGCGACATGAATATCTTTACATCAAAAAAATTGTCTTTCGGTACCTAGTGTTATGGATTCCCTGCATAGAAAGCGTGATTCTGGTCAGAACACTGAAAACACATTTTGAGTTTTAATTCTTTTATCACGATCCAGATATTATGTTTATCTGAAGTTTCTAGCGCAAATTCTCTTCATTAACTTGGGTTGGTCTTTATAAGTGACCACAGCTCACATATGTATGAAAGTCAGTCTCTGCTTCTCAGGAAAAAAATACCGCCAGCCTTTCAAGTAGTCTGTAGCTCTTCGTGAAAGACCGATAAAATGGCATCAGTGGAATAGCTGAAGTGAAGAAAATTCGGAAGTTTCATGCGACTATCTTGCTCTGATTGTCACCCAATAATAATGCATATCAGAAATAAAGTCTCTGCAGTTGCAGGATGACCCATTTGATATCCTGTGCAAGCCAACCGCATAGAATCGTACAAGAGTATTCAAATACCAAAGGAAACCTCGCGTGTTCAAAATTTCACCGATGATTCTCAATGAGTCAGATAAATCTTGGTTTTCTGTGGAGGAAAGTTTGTCGTTCAGAATGTGTATAGAAACCGGTGTCATCCTAAGGCTCGTGGTCTGTGCAATTTTACTACTCTATTATCGTATTCATAGTACCGCCTTTGTTGATAAACCTGTGTTTGAACACTTTGTCTCTTTTGGTTTCGCGCCTAACTCAACGTGACCAACCTGATTGGTGGAAGCAACCAATAAATAGTGGTGTTTGCAGTCGTTGGCTTACTCGTTAAGTCAGTTGCACATGTCTCACCAATAATCCAGATGATATCATCAGTAGGTGCTCAGTAGCAGGGGTAGTAGTCAAAGAGTCTAATGTCTGACAATCAGAATTACAAGAATGAACGAGAGTGTTTGGGTTCCACAACCGATCTGACTAATCAGCACGTCAATCTGGACACAGTCTAAAACTTAGTCCCACGTAAAAAAAACACCAGCAACTTAGCCTGAACATTACATTAACACACTAAGAGGCAGGAGTCACGTCAGCAAAGGCCACATCGTGAAGCCAAGGGAGTACAGTGACAGTTCCCCAGTATCGACCAATGCATTGGCACAGGAGCTTAAACCTTACTACGGCATCAGGGAACAGACCAAACCAAACGCTTTCGGAATTCAGTCCAGACCAGCAACATGTTAACACAAGAACATCACGCAGGTCCACTGGCGCAGTTCTAAACTGCCCACAGAATGATGCATCATCGGTCAGTGGTGACATGCTTGCAGTTAATTAGTCTTGCTCAGCGGAACAACCAATGACTACAGAACTGTATGGTAAGAAATATCAGCAAAACGCATCTTGTGGATTGTAGCAGATATCTATTGGGATAATGGGTAAACAATGATGTTTCATTCGCACCTCAGTTGATTTAAGTCACGAAACATTACAGTGATTTCTGTGTGCTAGATTAGATCATAAATACTCTGGGGATTTAGGAGCGTTTAGAGAGCGTTTAAATTCTTCGACGTTCGAGAAATTTCAGACCTAGTAGACTCTTTGGGACAAGTTTCAGTAGGTCCCTTTGCAATTTTTCGTTTACACAAGTTTCATGAATAGCTCAACCAGCATCTTATGAGCAAAGTGAAAGAGAATGCAATTAAAAGCCGGTTCGATCATAACTGAAACAAAATCGGCTTATCAGCGTGGTTCACGTAGTACGTCAATCACATAAAATAAACCATGCATAAAACGGATATATTTTCAAAACAAAAGGTAACAGCCATCAGCAAAACGCATCTTGTGAATTGTAACAGATACCTATTGGGATAATGGGTAAACAATGATGTTTCATTCGCACCTCAGTTGATTTAAGTCACGAAACATTACAGTGATTTCTGTGTGCTAGATTAGATCATAAATACTCTGGGGATTTAGGAGCGTTTAGAGAGCGTTTAAATTCTTCGACGTTCGAGAAATTTCAGACCTAGTAGACTCTTTGGGACAAGTTTCAGTAGGTCCCTTTGCAATTTTTCGTTTACACAAGTTTCATGAATAGCTCAACCAGCATCTTATGAGCAAAGTGAAAGAGAATGCAATTAAAAGCCGGTTCGATCATAACTGAAACAAAATCGGCTTATCAGCGTGGTTCACGTAGTACGATAATCACATAAAATAAACCATGCATAAAACGGATATATTTTTCAAAACAAAAACACCAACCTGAACCACTTGCGTCAGCTGTTTTGTTCATGCAGAGACATGCAAAGCCAATTTACGCGCCACCCAAGTCGACGCCCGTACAATTTTAGAAGAACCACCGATAGAGCAGATTGGTAATAAGAAGAAAAGAGAGCAGACAGATAATAGGTGCAATTCAGAGAGAGATGCACACGGAAGCGGTTAATTTCTCCTGATTTCCTGTGAATGCCTAAACGTAGCGTTTCAATGGAGAAATCAGGCATCCTGTCCGATAGTTTCTCGGTTTCGTACGATCACTCAGATTACTACTATGCGCATGTCCGCGGCTTAGTTGAGGGCCTGTCTCTTCAGCACACAAACCTTACCTATGATTCGTCTCCTCTTTTCTTCCAAAGCGCAGCTGTGACCATGTGACAAAGTTGGATATCGATATAATCACACGCGGGCCGCATTGGTCTTGACTATATCCACTTTACTGAAATGCAAAATGACTATGAACTACAGGTCACTTGCAAGTGCCTAGTTTGCTATGCGCCTAGGAATACGAATTGTCCTGTCTGACTCCACCAACCTCATTCGATCTTGCGGTCATTGCTATTTAAACCATTTAGACCCGTTTCATGATATTCCTCACCATGTGTGAATTGCACCGAGAAAGCTGCCGATAACAGTATCGCGAAATCTAGCTAGCCCCTGATTCACTGCCTGGTGGATGATCTGTTCACCGAGGTTGGCAACTAGATCACAAACGTTTCGTCACCAACTGAGGAAACAATGTCAAGTGGACGTCTAGCAGCCCACTGACGATATTCCCTTGATTGGTAGCAAATTTTTGCAGCTCACTTGTCAGACTTGGCGAAAAGACCAACAACCAAACCCTGGCAATACTCACCACCTTATGTAGCATCAGGCTTCGTGGCATCTCCCAGTGCCTCGTATTTTGCTTTCTTTGTAGTTTTTAAAAACCAAAACATGAAACCGGGTCATCTGAGTCTCCCAGTAAAAAACGTCACTTCCTCTGAATTCGATGAGTAACTCTTTGAACCCATGTGCAGCAATGTCCTTATCCTCACAAAGAACTTAATTGGGTAAATGGAAGCTTGTCTGATTACTTCTTTTCTTACCCTGGCGGCCAATGCAGAAATGAAGGGGATGCAGAGGGCGCACTTCGGAAATGGCTTTATAATCCAGAAGAGGTTTAAAATAGCCTCTATGGGTAACACCATCTAAGGATACACCGCCGAAATAGCCGGTTAAATGGAGCTCCAACTCCTAGTAAATGGGTTCTGTTCCATCTGTTGCCGTCGCATCGCTACTAGCACCTGTGAGTCTTAGAAATTGAGTGCAGTCTTCTAGACTAAACTCTGTTTGATCAAAACTGACCGCGGACCCCAGAAAACGACCGATTGTGAACGTTGTAAGTTCTTTCTTTGGACTAGTGCAAATAGCCTGAGGCCTATTATCACCGGCATAACAAACGGGGTCCAACTGATGATCAGTCGGTAGCCAGGATCAAAAACTTTTCGGAAGGTAGAATTCCAGGTGTCCTGGTTATTCAATGTGTGGTTAACGGATAACTTCTGATTGCCAAACTCCTCACTATACTCACGCACATCGGCTTAAGGTCAGCAAATGTAATCGAAACAAATGCCAAGTATGGTAGGAGAATTCGTCACGTATGTATGTAGGCGGGTTGAGTGATGCCCCAGTATACTACAACACGGTGTGATATGTGGGCTATCCGAATGAACCCATCTTATTCTTCATGTGGCAGGCTTCTAGTATTCCTCGAGAAATGCAGTGGTTTTGGACTCCGTATCAAGTCAAACAGGGCAAAAATTACTGGTCAGCCTCCGTTTGGTGCTCAAAGAAATTGAGCTGCAGGCATAAGGCAACCAGGTGAATCTGATCGATCACAAATGGATTTAGCGAATTTTTACGGAAAACATTTCCAAAAGGGATTTCATCAAGTATATAGACTTTACTGGTTCAAAAGTAATTTAAATATAGAATTTTGGAATATCTGAAGTTCGCGACGCTCACAAGATTCCAAACTACCATCTTGTTGAGGATGGAATCTTGGCAGTTGGATCCGGTTTTCTCTCTCTCTTAGGTCGGTCCTTAGGAAACTCTCTTTTCAGAGTACCTCCCCTATGAAAAAGAAAACATCGTAGCAACTGACGAAAGTGTCTCATCTGGCAAGGCCTACACCTAAAGGGCAGCACTCTAAATTCGCGAAGACCTTCGTGACATACTACTTAAACGCCTACTGATAAGGGTTGGATACTTATTCACCTGTATGTCAACCGATGTTTTATTTGATAAATATAACCTTGTTATCCAAACTCCTTCCCCACTTACCTTGACAAGTTTGATCCACCATCCGAAGTAGACCAGGGGCACAGTCACAAGAATATGATGAACCTGCTGGTTTGCATATCTCCCCTTCCCGTTGGCAGTGGATACAAGTGCAAGCATCTAAGGGTGATCACATAAAATAAAATAATGTTTACTTTCCCTTCAAGTGAGCCTTTCATAAACCAAGGAAAAAAGAAAATCCAAACAGACCTGACTGCAGGTTTATCTTGCAAAAAATGCATCAAGGGTTTGATAGGGAAGATAAGTCTGTACCTCTGGTTGTTTATATGTTTGTGATTACAATTACAATCTGACTTACAAGGCAAATAAAGTGAAATAAATTGAATTCAGTTAAAAGTATCTCAAAGAAGGTCTCACAGTTTAACGGCAGAATCATATGTTCCCTGGTTTAATTGACCCGCGAAGTCCGAACAGACTGCAGCCTCTGATAGCATTAAAACCAAAAATATGAGGCTTTCTGTTGTTAACTTCAATTTGGGAAGTTTCACCCAAATTGCTTAGCTTTCTATAAGCATAAACTCTGGACACTTTGTACGTTACAATGAGGCTTTTATTAGTGATTACTGCAAACGGAACAGCCTTTCGAGAAATACACTGATTTGCAATTCAATTTGGTTTTAACTAGTGACTCAACTGAATCTCTCGTGTATTATATTGTACGACTGAATGTGCTGCACACAGGCCGCCTCATGTTTCAGTTGGCACGATATGCGAGGTAGCACAGTATATTTCCATAGAGGGAACTACTCACAAGGTCGAAGATTTTTCAGCAACCTTGTGGGCAGTTTACTTCATGGAACAGCCTTTGTTTTCTTAGCTTGTTTACTCAGTTTGACGATTTTGTTGCCACAGTCTTGTTAGTACAAAACGTTCACAGAAGTCCTGGACAGAGACTGGTTTCAGAAAGATACTAACCCATAACGCAGTGACCACTATCGTCTGTCCATAAGTAGGAACATAAAGATTGAACTCCATAGACTCCAAAGTTTCGATGATTTCTCTTTTTGGAAGAACCATTCTGTTTTAACTGGAGACACTCATGCTGTTACGCACTTCAACGTTCGACAACTTGAGAAAATACCTTCAAAGACCTTCAGAGCTGATCAGCGTTCCTCCATCTGTGGTGGATGGCTACGTCATGCATGCACTTTCAGGTTTGTAAAGAAGAAAAACCACATGGACTGGGGTCGAAATCCTGATATATGGCTTCATTCCAGAGTCTGGCTATTTTTTGTGCATCAGGATAACTCACAACGGGACAGGGAATAAACAATCCTGTTAGAGGTGTTGGAGTACAAGGTTGACACACAAATTGCCACATATTTGATAATGCATTGGGTTTAGTTGCTTTGGTGTGCTCTATCTACCACAGATTCTTTAAGCAGCCTGCGTATTCCTTGGGTTTACTTATTTGAACAACTAGCTGTTTGTCGGATTACCAAATGAACAGTCACTAATCATATTCTGTGCTGTCTGTCTTTGACAGAATTAATTTGGTCTGCTTTATTCTTCGGCCGTTTTTGATGCATGCTGCCAGTTTGTTATCTAGTGAAATTTGGGTGGAAGGCAGTCCGAGCTGTCTTCCGGAGGATTGCAGTTGCCTAAAGTGGCCGCTTGTGGTTCGTCAGTTCACGCAATAGACGTGAGTTCGGAACATCTCCTTAGATCCAAGTGTTGCATGTAATGAGTAGCACCACATTGTGCCCTATTTCATGTCACTGTATTGTTGTGTGATGTATGGCGTATGTATTTGGTGTTTTTTTATTGTCAGTTACTCGCTTTGCAGTCCAGACCCTCCGGAGTGTCAGACCAAAGGTGGCTACGGAAGTGAATTTTTTCGGTCATCCTTGTGTAGGCCAAAAAGTGGTCTCCTAATTGAGCACACAGGCTGATTCATCAAAGTAGAGGATAGTACTTTAGGATTCGCATCATTATGCGCTCCGTCAAAGCTTAAGGGTGAGCTTGTCGATAAGCCCGCTTACCTGTGCAGTTGGACAAGCCATAAATACACTAGGATACATAATATTCGTTAACGTGCAAGGCGCGAGTTGTACTTGCCCAGTTTTGTCACCTCTGTTGTCGGGAACAAACACCGCGACGGGTAGATGGCTGTCCCCTAAACGACCGTGGCTGTAAAACTGGGCCTCTCCTATCTGAAACGTTCAGGCGCCTTTAGACAGTTAATATCCCACGTCTGCCTTACAACAGGGTTTAACGGATCCCAGCATGTACGACATTTGTAAGCAAATGTCTACGATTCTGTCTAACAACTCACGAAATTTTGACAGACACACTTTCGCGAATCAATNCAATAGGGTTTTCACGAGAGATTTAATCGAGTCTCTCCTACCAAATGAAACATAAGGCGGACTGTGAGCAGCACATTCAGTTAATGAACATCATAAACCAAACTGACTTGCAAATGAGTGCACTTGTCGAAACCAGTCCAATTTGGGTTCAAATAGAACATAAGGTTGACGAAAACTCGGGGATCGAGCCTAACTGATGAGCCCCAAGAAGGGTGAAAACCGTCGTGGGCTGTTTTCAGCAACCTTGTGAGTAATCTCCTTTGTGAAAACTCACGAGTTTCATCAGGTTTAAGTGATTGGGGTATGTTTTCTATACACGAGACCATCGTTTGCCGCAAAACACCCACAACCGGGATAAGTTTTGTGGGATCTGTGCAACCATCTTGGTGGGATTCAAGACAGGATGTGCCACTAAACCAACTCAAATGGTGAGCTCCCCTTCACTTCCTGATGCTGTACCTGGGCGTGAGGTTCGCAGACAATAATGGGTCAATCCACCATGGGCATTTAGATCCAACGTGTCACACAGACCCATCTGTCTATTTAAATGGAAGATGCACGCACACTGCTCTTGGTCGTTTCCCCTGAGGAAATGAGGCTTTCTTTAGAAGGATTCCTTAGGACTTCCGGATATTCGGACATTTTATTCGGTCTACTTCCATTACGGTTTTATGGCAGTAAAGCCAACGTTTACACTAATGACAGTCCACGGCGATGGTATTGTGGTGTTAATGAGCCTTTATCCTGACGTATGTGGTTTCGTGATGGCAAATAATTCTTTCCAATGTTTGGAAGCAAGTCTAATAGATCAAAGACAAACAGAACTTAAGGGCAACCTCCTTTAACCGTGCTTAGATCAGAAGGTGCTCGGTGTTTGTAGATAAAGATTCATTCAGGTTTTTATAATTATCTTCGCTCTAGACAGGTGAATGCGTCAGGATCCGTTAGACTCAATAAAATTAACTACCGAAAGTACATGTCGGAGCAAAACCCTTAGCCTGAAACAGTTTACGTCCTTTCTGAGTTTCACAGGGTCAATGATAAAACGACTTCAACAATTAACCGCATTCGCGCATGCGAGCTTTCCATTGTCACGGACAACCACGAACTGCGGTAGCCGCCCTGTTTCGCTAACTACCAAGTCTCGGAATGCGTATGACTAGACAATAAACACCAGCAAAACGTAATCTGAAATTACATAAGCCAAACAGAATCAGAACAATCAAACCTAAATAATCAATGTCACTATAAAACAGCGACGACGTCCTACTGAAAAACGAACAAGTAAAGTTGTTAGCGGTCAAGTACGTGTAAACCAGAACAACCTAGCTGCCGTGAAAAAACACACCTGGCTCACGAGCGTGGACCGACGTAACATCTACGCAGTACAGATTACATAATCCGTCTGGAGAGGAGCAGTCCACACCACAGTAACCTCGTTCTTGCATTCGTAAGTAGAAATGTTGATTTTTTGGAACTGGACTTCCCGACTGGAGTAGACATCCCGCAGCAGGGTTGTCAGCTCCCGGTGAGCTGACCTCTCCTGTTCCAGACCACCGCACCACGAGTTCATCCATGGCAATTTCTTCCATTGTAGTTCCCCGAGACTCTGCCGAGAATGCCGTCGGCTGCTCTGGGAATATGATTCGCCCGTAATTGTCCACATGGTACGATGTGTAATAATTACGACCTTGATCGTTGTTCCTATACGTGCCCTCAGTGTAACTGCGAGTCACCAAAGTGAATGGTTCAGTTGCAGTAACTTCCATATCCAACGTTCCTCTTGAGTAGGAGGAGCTGTATTCATCTTCCACACGCAAGCGGGCAATAACTGACATTCGACCAACACCTTCAATGTGGACCACAAACTGAAGTTTGAATTCCTCTTGAAAAGCACTTCCTAAACTGAACAAATTGTAGGTGCGGGCGCGACCAACATCTGGGTCACTAGAACAAGAGGTTGCAATCAGGCCATCCAAAAGGTGAAATATGGGCATAAGGAAACGTATTGAATGGAACTCGTGTAGATGGGGATCGATACCGCGCAATCCACTAGAGCTGCGTGGATTTTTTCCAACCTGTATATCCAGATACACAGGTATCTCCTTCATCGTTTCGTCCGGAATTAATTTCAACTTCAATGTACCTTTGAAGGCGTAATTGTGATCGCTTTCTACGGGAAGAAGGAAGTGGAGGAAAAACGAGATGACACATGTCGGAATTGTTAGATCACACGAAAGTACATCTGTGCACCTACACCGATCTCTGTGATAACCAAGTAGTTGCAATCTAATGGATTGGAAATATCTATCGTAGGCTGATTGACTGTTTGCATCTGAACAAAGAAACTCAGACACTTGGTAAACCATGTGGAAGTTGCCTTCCTAGGGTTTTAAATAATAAGTGTATGCAAAGTAAGTCCGTCTCGGTAAGTTTACGGGTTCACTAACAAGATTTTCAAAGACAAAACATTATGGTTAGAAGTTCGTAAAACTCTAGCGACAATATGGATGATGATGGGAGGTTCTAGTTATTCCGTTTCAGACGGCTGTCCCAGTGAACTGCTCGTAAACCCATCCATGTTGGATACGGGTATTTTGCTCTACGAGACCAGCCTCCGTGATCTCTCACGAGCATTGAGAAGCAGTGAACCACACACATACTAAGAATCCTGTTTATTGGTGAAGTTTAAAGCTTACTCTGGAAAAAGTATATCTGGGCAATTTGTTGTTTCGACCACCAAATTGTCCGGAAGCCTAGTGCAGGAAGTATTGCACGGTGGGAAGTATTCCAAAGACGGATGCGTGTGATAGGAAAGCAGCTAAGAAAAACGGCAAAAGGATAATGTCAGTTGCCAGCATTAGGGCGTCCACAGCCTTCCATGAGTAAGCTCTGTCTTCATAAATTTCAATTACCTACGCCACTGTGGTATCTCCCCAACCTCAAAGCATTTGGCTCAGTTTTCCAATAATCCAATGCACACCCATGTGTATCTGATTTCGGCGAACAAATCACTGGATCGAAAGCTTGTGAGCGTAAGTAGTAAGTGTAGTTCACGGATTCACCTCCAATGTCGCTCGTGCAGGACAACCCACTGAAGCAACTGGGTCAGGTGATCAGGAGAGCACGGCGCGTTTGATCCTCTCAGGGATATGAAACAGACGGTTGCTAATGGTGTAATTGCTAATTGACTAGTGCACTGTGCGACGGATGCGGGGAGGAAACAACAAAACCGGCTGAGGACTGGTGAACACAACTATCGTAATCGAACTAGTCTCAGAGAACATAGATGAACACTAATTTAAGCACAGGCGATGAACAACAGTGAACAAGATAGCTGAACAATGAACTCCTCGCTGCAAATCACCGCTCACAGGCTGACTTGTTGGAGACGCAGTTCATTCATTCCTTGAATTGTAGGTGAGTATGTCCTTATCAAAACTTCTGCCGTAGTCTGCGAATCGAAGCTTTATTTCTTCCCTTTTATCCATGTTCTGGGTTTGATAGCACTATAGACGGGTGTACGCAGACTGAAGACAGATTCTCCACAATTCTCCCCACTCAGTATATTACATTACCCTTAATTCCGTGAAGGAAATCAATAATTCGTCGAATTTCGGTCACCATATTCGGTTGTTGGATACTCCCAACAGTGAATGTTAGTCAATAAATAAGCAAACTGCATTAGAAGTTATCTAGGGAGCTTAAAACGATAAGCATGTTTATTGTTGAAGCATGCTGCGCCTCAACAAATAACCCCTCGTGGAACTGCAGTCGGCAAGGTTGCTTGATTCATGTCGCTTGCACTTGCTGGTTGTGTCGTGCCGTGGCTGCCCAAGAACAACAACAGACGCGTTTAGCTGGATTGGTGAGCTTGCATCAGTTTCATTTGGTGAGCATTCCGCTTGTACCAGTCTGACTGGTCTGTCTATAACACGTCTCTGAAGCGGTCGGACTGTGCCACCTTGATCTGACTCAGTTATTCCGGTGAGGGCCACGAGTTGCATTCGCCTGTCACATGCCTACAACCTCGTTTTGAGTGTGATAGTGCGCACGTGGGTACTGTCGTGATGTGTGAATTAGGCTATCGGAGAGCTGAACGAAATACTTGTGACTTAGAGATGCGGTCCTGTAACGGCGGACCAAACCATGTTCAACTGTCGAGAGGTTAGGCTAATCAGGAGAGTCCTCCTGTCTGTCAAGCCGATTTAGTCAACATATACGACACTTCAAACACACGTAGGCTGCAGTTCAGGCAGCCAAGCCGCACACTGCTATCTCCGAATACCATAACCATAGCTACAAGTAATCTTTGAAGGCGATAGTTCAGCTCTGATACCCCCGCTTGCGACTGTTTTGGCTGGCGAGGTAATGGACTGCGACCTCAGCTGTTTATTGTGACTATGCCAATGACAAGTCACTTTAATCATGCATGGAGTTCTGACTAATGTAGCAATGTTGACGGAGTCGCTCGCACCGGTTCCATTATTTGTGTGTCGTTCTTGCCTCCGGCTTCTCAGTTCAACATCGATTTGCTACTTATGTATATTCGTCCAACTGGTTCGAGGTCCCCACCTGTTAGGCTGCAGCACAGGAGCGTATCTGGATACGGCTCACCGGCCAAATTCCCTGCCAGTAGTTGTTCGATTTTCGCATTCTCCTATAGATATCTTAAGCCATGTTACGTCCTTTGAGATATGCTGATTTGCGTGCAACCAGTGGTATCCGTTCACCGCTTTGATAACAGAAACTTTATGGGACTGTCCCTTGTAGCTACCATTTCACCACACACATGACTGTACAGGTCACCGACACTCGCTAGATCACGAGATGTCTCTTTTTCTTAAGAATCGGGACTAACTTGACTACACAGCTCACAATCAAGCCCTTGATCCCAAGACTCGCCTTTCTTCCCCTACACGTACAAATCATGACGCATAAGGGTGACTCATCTGACATAGACTGTCAACCGTCCGATGAGTTAGCAACAAGTCATGTGCTGACACCCACACACACGCAAACGTCCCTATACATAGGACAACAGCACAGCAACACAACACAACTCAACAGAGCTTCGCACGTCGCCCAACTCGGAGCAGAGCCGCTCAGGATTTACGGCGCTTCAATCACGGATACTCGGGAATACGTGTGGCTGCTACCACAGCGAAGAATACACGAAACGTGCATCCGGACTTACAACAGGATTTATCAACCTGTACCTGCAAAACGATAAGTCCCTTATTTGCATATATACCTGTTGTAACAATTTTACTCAACAAGCAGACATTGTTAGCGCTCCCCGTTTTCTCGTTCATACAACTAGTTTCCGGGTTCTATTAGAGCATTAACACCCTACAACCATATGGTGTGTGATGTGGCGTCATATCTCAGATGCAAAAAGGATGTTTCAGCAGGCCTCATTCACTTTGAGAGGCTACGTGTTTTCAACAAAACCACAAGCACGATAGTAAAACCGGGCAAATTAATAGCTCTGTCCCATCAGTTGCATAAACTTTAAAGAATGGCATTGAATGGTCACCGTGTCTAGCAGGGGAGACATCACTCCACTGACTGTTTTACCTTGTTTTATCAGCGCGTTTTAAAAGCGCCCACCGACCAAGTAAGATTTGAACGATCATGTGGAGTAGACGTCACTCTATCGATTTCCTATGTAGATGTGAGCACTTCAGCTGTTCCGTTCGTGGTTTGTGCCCATTCACGTGCTAATTTGCCTTGATTGACTACCGGTCGTTCTCATTTAAAGATGCTAGACGCTTCGAACTTCAGGCGAGTCGATCCAAGTCATATGTATTCGTTGCACGTTGCTTGGTACTGCATAGGATTGGTGCAAACGCTTAGAATGATTTATTTTTTATTTTTATATATTTAGGAGCGCTCTGGTGGTAATCATCGTTCCGAACGAGACAGAAAGGGATAAAAGTGGCATCTTAAAATTTGGAAAATCTGTAATGGCAGGTTTGTTTCACATACAAGATGTGTTCAATGCAGAAGATTCCACGAGTAAGCTGCTGTAGATCCTAGAGGGTGGCACTCCACAGGCTATGCCCTACAATTCAACCGGGTATCATTTTGATCACTGATCAATGTCATCCCAATCTAGCCTCGCGGACGTTCAATAAGGTGTCTAACTGCAGTGTACGACTGATGGAAATCTGAGGAAAAGGATGTCATCAACGTTTCGTCAACGTTTTAAAGTAATATCAGTTTGAGGAACGAGCGTAAACGTGTTTGGATATATTAGGTTTGCAAGAAGGTTACTGGCGACAATATGACATTGTTTACAAAATCTCATACGGAGCAATTAGCCATTAATTCTGGGGTTTGTTTATGAATATCATCGCTCACCAAACATTTGTTTTACGACCCATAATGATGCATTACAAAAGGATCAGGCTTTTCACCGGTCGGGTACATTGGTGTTGAGAAATTGGTGTTGGAAAATTTTGGTTGCGAATTTTCCCAAATCGTTTAGTCTAGGTAAACAAAAATGGCGATTCTTTACTGAAAAAAGCTATACCCAAATGGATGGAGTTCAGGATCGGTGGAATGAATTTATTTTTACCGGGAATTCGGAATAAACTACTGAATACCTAATAGCCTACAGTGAGCACAAATACCTCACTTTAAATGAAGTCAACGCAGAAAACGAATGAAAAATCACTTTTTTCGTTCGATAACTGGATGAAATAAGTCCATATTTCGTCGCTTTCAGATATTTTACAGAAGAGCGATGAGTGAATTCCAATAGGGCCAATTCGAACAATTATGGAGAGACCAGCATTATGCGGTCGGCTAGGGTTTTTATAGTTGGCCAAGGTTTTAAATGCTCCACATGTAATGTTGATCAAGGTTCACAAGACTAAAAATGTGACTCAACAGAGATGTCTAACTTACAGGTGGTTGCGAATGGCTTTTTAGTGAGTGTGCTTGCCTTCAGCAGCACGGAAATAACCGTGAATAAAACTCGAACAGTCATGAACTGCTTTACAAACGAATCAACGATTACAATTTACTTACTATGGCTAAGTAACTTACCTTGGGAATAGCATTTATGATTTCCTGAGCCGTAGTATCCGTCACGGCAAACGCAACATGCCAGTCCTTGTACCCGGAAACATTCAGAATCGGTGACCTTGCACTCTGCTGCAGCATCGCATCGTTCATCATATGAAACACGAGGTTCTATCGATCTGGCCATAACATACGGTTCCGTTGGTGTCTCAAAAGGACGTGGCTCTGGCAATCGATCAGTCCTCATCTCCCAAGCCGAAGATGCTTCTGATGGAGATTCCATGGACCCTTGGGTCACAAAGCCAAGTTCAGCATCTTGAGGAATGAAAGTTTTGGGCACGATTCCCGCTGTGGAAAAGAGTAATGTGTATACTTTCAAAACACACACACGCTTTCGCATCGTATACAGGGCAGATACACATAGGGCAAGCTGAGGTCCGACGTTGATGAGTGAATCTTCAGATATACCTAGTCAGCCGCGCGTGGTAAGCAGTAAATAAAATTGTTTTGTTTTAGGGGTTTATAAAGCCACATATATTTATCTGAAGAAAACATTATCCAAACATGTTGAATATCGCACCAGCAATTACGACACAGGAGCACCTAGACACCACAGCCAAGGAATCAATAAAAGGCTAAAAAACACCGTTATTTTGCGTCTTGATTTCTGAGGCAACAGGTGTATCAAGCCGCCGATGGGATGCATAAAATTTCAACTGATCTGAGCACCCGTTCTTTTGCGCTTGCAAAAAGAATGCGCTATCTTAAGCGAACAATTCAGTACAGTCCATGAAGTCCCAAGAAGCACCTAGTAACGCTGCATGAGTGTGCCCTTCCTAATCTGCGCAGCGATGAGAGCGGAAAAGGACAAATTTTATCTGGACGTTGTGTTTGTCAATAGCATATTCTTTCGTGGATAGCTGTGGTGACAAATTGCAAGGTGATCGCCTCGAAAACTTATAAATAAGTGAGGTTTTATTTCATTTGGTGAACAGTGTTGTTCTACAGCAAGTTTGCGCAGTCTCTATCATATGAAGAAAACTCCACTATTCTCAAATTCCTCCAATGCTTTCACGAAAATCTACCAAGCTTCTTTTGCTTTTCTGTAAATAAGATGACGGGATATTTTGCTTGATCATCTGTCAAATAGGTAAACCGTGGGGAAAACTACCTAGATCAGTGGATGGCGCGCCAAGGCACTTCGATGCTTTCTTGGTCGTAGCAAGCTGTTAGTGCCCCTTGAACTTTTTAGGGGTTCGCTCGTCAACCGACTTGATTTACACACTGGAAGCTTTTGTAGCAATAGCTAGGTAAGATCTTTGCTTAAAGAATTGTTACGTATTGAAGGAAAGTTCACTTCTATCAAACGCATGTACTTCAACATCCTGCACTGAAAGAAAGTAAGCAACCCAAACAGATTCCATTTGCGTGCTTGAAGGACATCCCGTCCATTCCACCAATATGTTGACCGAATGGATGTTGGATTTGAGCCAAAAAAATCTCGGTAGTGTAGGGTACAGGATGCGGTGTGGCAAACAGAAACAGTAAATAATTGAGAAGTAGAGAGAAGCTTACGCACAATCTTCACAGTATACTACAACCTTCACAGCACCGAGTATTACAACCATTTAGTTAATAGGTCTTGAACGTCTCAACCTTGCATTCAACATGCACAAGCGCAAGGGATACTTTGTGTTATGTTTTCCTTGTTCCGTCCACGGGTCATTGCTCTCTACTTAGAGCCATATTCTTGTCTGAACCTGCCTGAGAAAACAGAATATGCCAGGGCAGTCGGTCACGTTGACTAGGGCGCACGCGGTGGACCTGGCTTAATTTATGTAGTCGATTGCACACAGCAGCTGGATGACCAGTGAATTCGTAGTCAAACACCACTGGTTGCACTTGAGTACTGCAAATACGATGATTCAAATGATTCAAAGGCCAAGACAATGTCTAAAACAAAATCGAACAGCCTTTTGCTGTCAACCTACGGTGACCAGGTTCCATAACCGTAAAGCAACTCTGGACACACTGCGATGTTGTTCTTTTAATGTGAGGACTGAGGTAGACCTGCCAGATTGTGCGATAAGGAGAAGAGAGAAGATCCTGGCTTTCACCAAAGGGCTGGTGTGAACCTAGAGGTACCTAAGTTGAACGTAGCCAGAGCGAGCCTTAGCGATTCTGGCGTTTGTTTCGTCAGCGCTATTGCTACCCGACTTGAATTAAATACCCAGACAAAAATCTGTCTACCATTTCTATTGGGTCAGATGACATGACTAGTTTTGGTAAGGAGACACCCGCTCAGTCTTGAAATAGTAGCTTGTACTTGCAAGAGTGGGACACATACTAACTTTTATGGCGACATTATGTGAACTAGTTAATGTTATTTTACCTCGATGGAATCTGAACCTTGGAAAAACGTTTCACGCCAGGAGTAGAAGTCATCGAACCGGTCACCGTTCACCGGTCACCGGTCATCGATTAGGAAGTCGAAAAAGTGACAACAGGCAACCTTGAAGATACCAGTTTTATGGTAAAGAATGGATATCGCTACAAAGCGGCTTAGCCGACCGAGTTGACCATTACTTTAGATCTTAGACGTCAGTCGTTGTGGGCCGTCTGTGTGTGCCGGTATTCGTGTTGTTGTAGGACTAAGGTGTGACCTAGAACTCTGATGAAACACCGCGTGATCTTCTGTCCCTGATGAGCGACTTCACACAGAGAGAATCCATGATGATGTCTCTCAATGCTCCATATTTCAGCCGAATTTCTACGCAAAAGGTTTGGATAGTTTTATCCCCTTTAGCTAGATCTTATTTGCGGAGGATCTGGAAACTTGGCGAGGCATTATGACGCCGAAAGATATCGTCCTGCTATGCGGCCGGTGGGAAACAACATTAATTACAGCGTAACAATGCACAAGACTTGAACATTGTGGACTACAGCCGCCTTTAATAGAGTTCATCAGGTAGATTCTGGTCACAGACTAGTATCTATTTCTAGAGGTGGAATTGCAGATGCGAGTTTACCGTGAAAAACTGTCAGTCTAACGTCGCAGTGGATGACTGACAAGTTAAATCAAGAGCTGGAGCTAGACAGGATAAAGAAACATTTGAAGTAAGGATAGCTGCATTGCAGTGAATAAACTAACCTATGGATGAGCACCTACTGGACTGTAGTGTTTAAATGCCTTGGTAGTTAAATTCCGATAAGAACAGGTCATCCCGAAATACTTACGTTCCTCTGTGTTCATCCGGTCTCCATCTCCGTCGTAGACACCCATGGGAATTTCGGTTTCCTCGACGACTTCTGGCATAATGGGAACAGTCAGCCCGAATTCCGGAAGGACTTCTGCCACGTCTGCTTCAGTATTGTTGCCTGTCCGGTCATTAACGTCAACTGGCCACATCGAATCGGTACTTGGTGGCCAATCGTCTTCCAGTCCGTCGTAATCATAATAGTCATCTATTCCGTCTGGAAACCTATCAGTATCCCATGAGGGTGTCACTTCTGTAAGTACTTCAGATTCTGCCGACTTGGGCTGATCATTTAAGTGCTCGGTTCCATCACTCATTACCGCTGCGTTCTTTGAAACTCCTGTACCATCGACACCTATATGACAGTTTTTCTTCAGCTGCTTTGTGAATTCTGAGGCGATACTCGGAAAATGATGAAGAGCTGCATCGGTGTCTGTTTGTGTATCGTGGAGTGGGAATATCCATTCACCGGGCACTGCAACATTGGTTTCACTGCAAAAGGGACAACATACAGCCCGTTTTTGCAACTTCAACTCCCTCCTGGCATTGACAAACGAGGACAACTCAAAACAGTTCAAAATAGTGCAGAAACTCACTTAGTCCACTTGAACACTTCTACTGACTGACCACTCCGTGGAAGCTGGAAGCCATTGGGATGTTTCATAAAAATACCTGCTTCCGGTGGTTTTGCGCTAGAGACTGTGATGTCTTTTTCAGGCCACTCGACTGAAATGTACTGGAGCACGGCGTATGATTTTGAGCCATCAGTGAGGATGAGTAGTGTGTAGGAGTTGGACTGTGAAGAGCAAGAGACGAAGATGAATAGATCAACTAAATAGACCATCTACAATGTAAACAGACTCACAAGTGGTTCCGTTTCGAGTAAATAGAATATTATTAGACCTCTTAAGCTGTCACAAGTCCTTATAAATTCAAAATAAGTCGAAGTGAACTCTAGGGCTAACAAATGTCACTAAAACGTAGATATGAAGCAATCGGTACGTTCTCAGTTATTTTAGGTTTGTGCCGGTTACATCCAACTGACTTTAAGGGAGGAGCTTCACTACGACATTGTAGAGATGCCCGCATTCACTAGAGTATCCTAACAGAAGCCACAAACTGGAATGTGTTTTATGGATGGTGAATAAAATTAAATTCAATCTAAGCCCGCATTTTTTATTTCAAGGCGCTAATAATCGATGGCTAACAAGACACAATAAATCAAACGTTCTAGCGGCAGCCTCATAATGTTTTACGGACTACACGTCTAGTTGAATATGTGCGATTTCTGGCCTCATCCCTTGGTTCTGCAGTCACGGTGAAGTATGCATAACCATTGTGTACACACTGTCCATAAAAGTAGAGGGCGATAAGGAAGTAAATAAAGTGTGGACCCCCAAAAGAAACGACATCTTCTCAGCCACGTTTGGCTGAAGATAAATCACTTCTTTCATTCTTCTACCATTACACTGCATTTCTCCTGTGATACCGTTTCTCGAAAAAGCATGTGGGGTAAGAATAAAGCCGGAGTTTTTTTTGCCTGCAAACAGTCCAACTTTTACTGGACGCATACAAACACTCTTAGCTAAGTTCGCACATGATCCTCCTAGACTTCGTATTACGTAACTAGTCAGATTTCATACAATCGCCAAATAACCATAGTCTGAAAGAGGTTTTGCTTGAACCATGTTGAATATGAACGTATCGGGAGTGACCTATCGTACCGATTCTGGCTACTCTATATTGGAAGAAATAAATTCAGGTGCGCATTCATTCAACAGGTAAAGCGACCCAGATTTTCAACAAGTGGATTGACCTCGTATGCCACCTGCGCTACCTGTGAAGTGAAGGACACAGAATCAATTGTGTTCGGTCTGTGAAACCTCAAAAATCCATTTGTACTAAACGGAACATGACGGAAGATTTCACTGAAAAAATGGAGTGAAAGAATGGACAAAACATCTGGTTCATACTTTTTTTCGCCCAAATTCAGACTGCGGTCAGTCCGCCTCCCTTCCGTACTGTCGAACGTGGGAAGTGCATAGTCCATGGTAATCAGCTGGATGACCCTAGCCAGTAAACCAATCAGGTTTGCAAGCTACCGGGCACTCTCGAATATCTTGGGCGCCAGATCCCAGCTTAACTGGCGCCATTTGTTGGCGATCCATAAATTTTGGCCGCTACCTTAGCTCTATAGATGAAGGCTTATCAGCCTGTACCGACAGGACAGTGTGTTATCGACCAAGGTGTTTTGGCATAACGAGTGTAGGAAAAATATTCGAACAGCTGCAAAATTCGTTGATATCCAGTTAGCCTCATGACTTTTAGACATAACAATTCGCAGCAAATCTGTGTGGTATCTCATTCTGTTGACATTCATAGGTTAGTAAGTGTTATAAACAAGTGGCTCGGACCTCGGTTTGGCACAGTTTATGTATGCATATTAGCGGCTGTTCGGATGGATGAGAGACTAAACACGGGCCTTTCAGTTTGAACCGTGTGTAAAAAACCCCATTTTATACACCCCATTATACATTTTAAAATGTTCAACAAATTAGACAGCTTTCACATGAATGCTCCAACTCACAAGGTGGAACTGCACAGAGTTTGGAGTACACATGCTGCTTTTATAACACTTTCATTTCAACTGAGTAATCTAAAAGAAAATAACATAATATCAAGCAATAAAACATCCGGCAAGCGTGACAAAGTTCCGTCTGTGTGGATCATTAAATGTCGTACCATTTTGGTTGGAGGAAGTTATATTTGATTGACTGAAGTATAAACCGAATACTATCGAGGGAACTCATGAGTTGTGGGTTAAAATATAACTGCTATGGCCTTGGATTAGATGACTAAGACCGCCGGATATTTCAGGGGGAATGTTTGGGTAATGGAAGTCACAATATGATAAATGTAGGACAAAAGCGTTTGCTTCGGTAGAGAAAGAAAGTTTCAACAACCGAAAATGTTAGCGCTGGAACGGTTGTATTGTTCAAAGTGACTGCAAACTTTTGACGCAGTAAGATATGTCTCAATCTTGGTGGAGCGACTCTTTATCTATTTTCCGCTACTCTGTTGTTCCTGGTGTGCTTTTATCCCTGTGAACTAACAGAACGTCTTTTGGTTACGTCATGAAGAAAGCACCTATTCGTGGGTTTTCAACGAATCTGCAATATACATTTTTAGTACTCCATCCCGGTGGCCGATGTTTAAAACTATGCTGTTGGATCCGAGATGAATTATAGGTCATTTGTCAACGGAACAACATCTACCGTAGGACCTCAAAGAAACCTATCCAGATTAATGGATTTGAGACCAGTATAATGTGCAGATTTTACTGAAAATAATGAGGTTCTCGTAAAATATTGAGAATGTGTCTCCCTTGGTATACATCACCTCATACCGCTACATCGCTTAGACTTTGTTTTGACAGCCGATTCACTCAATAATGGATAGCCCGGTGAGGGATGTGCCGTGCCTTTTCCATGTCCACTTGCTAGAAACTTCTACACACAAAAGGCTCGCTGCGGCACAGCATTTTGATTATTGCTAATGGAACAAAACACCTCTTGTGCAGTAGCCATCAGCCAAACCACCATGGTAACTTGGGAGAGGAAGAATATGCCACAAACTGGATGTATTCGCCGAAATTTGCTTTACTTTGAATGAGCAATAACGTTAGAAATATTCCTTCCACATATTCCTCAGATGGGTATTCTGAAAACTGCACCAAAATGCCATGGTTTTGAATTTTCCTAAAGGCTTTGTGAGATATACCCCGAAGTTCATATTTATTACGGATAAAATAGTTGCTCACTGCGTCTCAGCATGGACCAACTTCACTTACCGGATGAGAATTACAGTTGAAATATAAGATGACCATTGGTGAATATACACTCATTTGCAAACTAATTTGTTTTAAGACTCACCTTTTGAAAGACTCACCTGGAACCCAACTGAATCTCTCGGTTTTGATGTTTCCAGGCAACTGTCGAGGAGTTTTCAGCAACTTTATGAGTAGTGCATTACAAAACATATATGTATCGCGATATCTCGAATATCGTAGCAACTGAAACATGAGGCGGCCTGGTGCAGCACATTCAGATGCCTGGAAACATCACAAACAACAGATTCAGCTGGGTTCTAGGTGAGTCTTTCGACAGACCTAATCTGTTTGCAAATGAGCGTATTTCGCTAATTTTGTGCAATTTGGTTTCAAGTAGAACAGGAGGTTGATGGAAACTCGTGGGCTGCACCTAGCTGATGAACCCCAAAAAGGGCGAAACCGGTCGTGGGCTGTCAAGGAGTTTTCAGCAGCCTTATGAGTAGTGCATTACAAAATAAAATGACCATTTTAGTATCAGCAACTAAGTACTGCTGCCCAAATTTGGGTGAGACGGGGATTGATCACTTGAACCTCTGAGAGTCCTGTAAAGGAAGTCTACGGTAATCCCCGCACCACAGAATTCATAGTAATAAACAAGTGTCAAACTGAATTCGGTATTGTCAGATGTGTTGAGGTGAACCTAGCGGGCATGTGAGGAGTAAGTTTATACGGGTTGTTCAGGCCACAGTGGGAAGAAAATAAAACAGTTTTGACAAATTTATTTACGAATTTATTTGTTGTTATTTATTTATTATTTATTTATTTACAATTTACAATTTATTCACAGTCCCCTTGCCAAATCCTATACGTGCTTGTGTTATCCGGTTATTCCGCTACAACTAAGTAAATATAACAGCTCCCGCGCTTGCGAGATGTCCGTGCCTCCCATATGCAGGATGAAGTAAGCCTCATTACTCACCGTTCCAAATTGAAGACCTCTAACAAACAGACCACAAGCCGAAAATCGGGGTATAGACAATAAGACCACAAGCCGAAAATCGGGATAATAGACAATAATTCCAACCATGTGAAAACAATCCATCCACTAGAAGAGCAGCCCGTGCGTCATCCGCTATCGAGCGTCACCTTCATATTCAGTACATTTTGCACAAAAAACTCTTGCCTTGCAACGTCAGTGTGTACATGCCGTTGTCAGCAAGGACGAAGCAACATGGATAGTTCCCATTCCAGTGTGTCCCGAACACAACAGAATCAAATTATTGACCAAATAAAAGACAGCATGTCAGCAGGATGCCCTCCATGACAAGCCCCAACCCTAGACATACAACTGTCACCGGTTTTATGGTGTGGGATTGAGCGTAGAAAGCGAAACTGTACAAACAACTGTCAAAGTGACCATGAATGACGAAGGCGTGCGCATGAGGTTCTGTCTTATCTTTAGGATAGGCGGCTAGCATTTGATCACTCTAACATAGCCTCTGGTTTTGGCAGAGATCAGAGCCTATATGAATTCGCATCGTGCTAAGGATTGCTTGTTGCGCCGGAGATCTAAACCAACAGACCTTTTATTCCATCCAAATTACATAATAAGAACCGGCAGATGAAATTAAATTCAACTGAGAGATTCAGCTGTAAAGTCTTCCTGTGCACCAAATTAGTTTGACTGATTATAAGGAGGTATATGCTAACCAGTCGTTTTACATGGAGCTGCGTTTTCATAGATGAAACTACTCACAAGGTTGCTGAAAACTCGTCGACAGCCCACGACCGATTTCGCCTTTCTTGGGGCTCATCAGGTAGACGAAGTCCCCCAGTTTCCGTCACCCTTATGTTCTACTGGAACCCAACTTGGACTGATTTCGAGAAATACACTCATGTACAAATCAATCTGGTTTCCACGAGGGACTCAACTGAATCTCTCGTTTATGATATTCTACATCTGAATGTCGAGTATCTCGTGAAAGCCAAACTGATTTGCAAATGAGTGTATTTCT